TTGCCTGCAAACTGGCCTATCGCAGGAAGCAGTAAGTACACTGACCCCTTGCAGGGGTTCATTTATCTAGAATCTGAGAATTCTGGACTTGGAAGCTTGCACAGGCTTCTGTGCAGAGCGGAACCCGCACAGCAAGCAAGGTGTCTCTGATGCAGGTTACCTTTCTTCCGTTGGTTGCCTTTCTTACTCCCTTCCCTAATTATAACCCTCTATGTGGAGGAATTTTGAGGCTGATAGTGAAACAGGGCTGCTGGTCTAGAGTACAAGATCCAGTTTTTCACCATTGGCGTATTTAGTTCATTAAGACAAATGGGATTTCAGTTTTGTGCTTTAGAGGAAAAATTCAACTGTTGCACAGATGAATTGGTCCTATGTGAGGGGGAGATGGTTACTGAAGAGAGTGGTTAGGTGTTTAGTGAACTGCTGCCAGATCTCTGCCGAGCCTTTTGTTATGCAGTAGCCAAGTGAGATGTGCCCCCAGTCCTGTTACTTGGCATCTAAGTGCTACATCACTAGTCAGTATTATCAGGGAGAGTTTCAAGAAGGGAAATTCCCAGATCTTTGGATAAGGATCAGCCTCTGCAAGTTCTTGCCTGGATGAATATTTGAGCGTGTGAAATCGTACAGCTGTTCCCATGCGGTAGGTTGGCGGTGGGTCCGGGCTGTTTCGGAGTACTGCGGATGCAGAGCTGGTGTCTTCATTCCATTTTACTTCTGGGAAATGGGCTAAAGTTGAGCTGTTGCAGATACTTGGGTGTGAGCCCATCTTTTCGTGTGACAGATGCATCGCTGGTAAATCTATAATTGCCTGTAGCGAACTGCATCAGACATTTCCAGCCTCTTCCACCCACTTGTCAATGTGACTAATGATTTAATTATCACGGTACTTACAGCGCGTGAGCATTCCTAAGTAAGGTATATCTTCGTGTATTCCCCCTCCTGCTTTGCCAACGTAGGCTGCACCCCGTACTAAGCGCCTGCTGCAGCTGCTGTGTGCGTGCACGCGTAAGGGGATGAGTATTTTACACGCTTTGCTCTCTTCTTACAAGCTGCTCAGGTATGTGAGAAATAGCCCAAGTGTACAACACCTGTCTTGTCTCCTAACTGGCAGATCAGGGACTTTGGACTCAATGCGAGTTTGGCAACTGGTTGGTGAGATCGTTAGGGGATTCCTGCCCGTGCATTTCACAGGGTCCTACAGGAGAGGCTTGGGAAAGTAGTGTGGCTTCTCGTCAGCTCTGCCAGTTCATGTCTCTCTTATATCTTTAGTTGTGTCCCTCCACTGTGCTTGTCTTTCAGCTGCCTGAGATGGTCTTGCCCTTAATGAACAAAGTCTCTGGGAAATGAACTTCTTGTATGTTCACTGTGCCTTGTTGGCAAGGAGAGAGCACAAACCAGAAATGGGTACATCTTTCACAGGGGGAAAAAAAAGAAGAAGTTGGGTATGGTGAAGACTGCGGGAGTGTAGATTGGTAGTTTAGTCTGCTGCTCCTTCTCCACCTAAAGAATTTGTCAGACTTGTGCTTGCTGTGTTGTTCCTCCCCTAAACCAGCGCTGGTGGTGGTGTGGTGGCTCTGGCAGGCCTGCCTTTATCTGAGGAAGACGGAAGAGGCAGAGGATTTAGAAAAAACACCTGCTGGCATTTCTTTGACCTTTTTGTAAACCTGACACAGGTGAGCCCAAGCTTTTGCTGCAGCACAAAAATACTTGTATTTGTTTAGCAGTGTTTGTAGGACACGTGTTTTGCTTTACACTGGAAGTGCATACAGATGCCCAACTGCTGCTTCTGTTGCCAGAGGACCATGTGTCTTACCCCCTTAAACTCAATGCCTTAGCTTCTGACTGCCAGCTTGTTGGCATAGCCTGCCAGAGTGATCTCCAGGTATCCATCCCAGGGATCTTTGCTATGAGGGTCATTTGTTCAGCTTGTGTTTGAGGAAAGCTGCTGTGTCCCAAGGGACCCATCTGACTGGTTTTATTTCAGTTTTTGCAATAAAATGTACATGTTGAATAACTTGCGGGGCACGTTACTCAGAAAAGGCAACAACAGAACCATGCTCACATTGCTCATCTTACTTCTGGGGTTTCCTGTCACTTAATTTCTGTTCATAGCTAATATTCCTGAGGTAGCCTTTCCCTGAGCTTTTAAAATGTTTGCATTATGTGATCTTTGCATAAACAGGAGGTTGTTGGAATTGTAATGAAATTGGTTTTTTTCTTGGTTATGTGGGGGATGCTGTTCCTACAGCCACCACACAGGTGAGGCAGGCAGAGGGGAGGGTGTGCTTCTGTATTCCAGCTGTATCCCACCGCAGCTCTGGTCTGATCTCCTGCAGAGCTTTACCCTCTAGGGTTTTCTCACCTGTACCAGCTGCTCAGCCTTTTTTCCCCCCTGAATATACTTTGTTTGGCTAATCTTCCCCGAGGTGTAAGATATTTGCTATACATATGTAACTGGAATCTCATGATTTTGTCTGCTTAGTTATAATTAACCATGTAGATGCCTTGTATTTTTTTCCTTCTCTGTGTGGGCTGCTCTTTCCTTCTCTTAGTAACATAATCGATGTACTGTCTTGACTCTGAAAACCATGAATGAGATCACTGAACTAAGGCAGACACTCACTATGATTTGGTTTAAATGACAGTGTTCCTACTCTTATCTAAATTCATCACTCAGTAATGACTTTGCAAGAGACTTCAAATGCTTGAGTGAAAAATTCAATGTAAAGTTTGGTGTATATTCTTCAGTCATATTCCAGTAAACCTGGGGGGGCAGCAGCTGTTACTTCCCTTAGGGGCATCTTGCTGTGAGAATTACTGCTCTGCTTTTTAAAGTGTATTAAAGGTAACACTGTGGGGTGGCTAAACTTGATTGTAGCTACTACTGCAATCATTTTATGGAAGAAGTTGTATGATGCTGTAGATAATAATGGGCAAGATAATCTTAATTTTTCTGATTTGAAAAGCAGAGTTGACTTTTTCAATTAGTCTTCTGCTTTTCTGCAGCTGATCAAGATTCTTTAATCCCATTTCTGTAAGCTTTTGCCATCTAGATTTTTAATTTTTCTTTAAATTACTATTTGCCAGAGGACATTTTGCCAGGTACTCCTCTGCTTGCTGTGGAGGGAGTGAATGATCCTT